CTTTTTTAAACTTAGTAAATTATTTTTAATTTATATAGTTTTATTATACTATATAAGCGAGGTTATTTATAATTCTTTTAATATTAGGTCCTTTTTTTTTAAATTTAAAGAGTTACTTTTTTATATTAGTTAGGAGTTTTTATTTAATTTAATTTTTAAAGAGGTAAAGTATATTTTTTATAACGGGGTCTATTTTAGCCTTTTTTCTTATATTTTTATAAATTTAAGAGAGCGTAATAATATATTTAATATTATTTTTTTTAAGAATATAGGGTCGGTAAGTAGGTATTTTTTCTTTTTTATTATTATTATTAGGGTTTTAATAGGGGGTAGTATAGTATTATATTCGGATTATTTTTTAATTTTAGGTTATTTTAGGTATTATTTTATCTATTTTTTATTATTTTAATAAGTAAGATAGTTATTGTTATAGTAAGCTATTTATAAGAGTTACTTATAGAGGACTTCTTTACTTATAATATTAGCTCGTTTTTTTAAAATAGGTTAGTATTAGATACGCTTAGGTTATTAATAGTTTTTAGCTATATATATTAGTTTATTATAGTTATAATATTTAAAATCTTTTTTTTATTATAATTTTTTATGTTTAATAATATTAAGGTTTATAAGTCTTTTATATTATTTATAAGACGTATTTTATTATTATTAATTTTTTAGGTTATTTTAGTAGTTACTTAGTAATTTATTATAGTTTTAGTATTTTTAATTAGAGTTAATTTAAGGGTATCGTACTTCTCCTTTTTTTTTTACGTTATTTATATAATTAAGTATCGATTTTAATAGCAAGTTCGATATACTATAGGAATTTTATTAGTATTTTTATTTTATTAAGTTCGTTTTTAATTTCTTTTTTTAGTTTTTAATAAAACGAAAAGATATAGGTTTTTTTAATAGAATTAAGTTATATTATAAGTTTTTTAAACTTAGTAATATAGTACGAGGTAAACTTAGTTTATTAAAAGTTAACTAAGTTTTTTTTAGTTTATTATTTTTTATTAAGATTTTAAAATAGGGATTTAAAAGTATTTTAGAATCTTATTATATTACTAAAAATATTCGTAATTTTTTTTTTATAGTATAGTAAATAACCGTTATTATTAAGGAATCTTTTTTAAAAAGGTTTAAACTATTTTAAGGCTCGTTTTTTAAGGAAAGTTATTATATAAATAATTTATTTAGTTTTATTATAGAAGTTAGTAACGTAGAACGTTTAGTAAGTTCTAATTTAAATTAGAAATTTTTTAAAACATTTAGTAGTTTTATTAAAGGTAATAAGTATATTAAGTTTAAGTTTTTTTTATTTATTTATAGGAGTTTTAATAATATAATAGTTTTTTTATTTTAGCTTTATAAGTATAAAAGATCGACCTTAATAAGATTACGCTTTTAAAAGAAATTATATAATATAGTATACTTTTTAATTATATAATATACGTAATATATCCTAAGTACGCGCTTAATATAATATAATAATTTTGATATAAAAACTACTATTTAATTTAGGATAGGTAAGTTACTTTTTACGTAGTAGCGCTAGCTAAAAAAGTTAACGGTAGAGGTTAGCTATAATAATTAGCTATAATAGTTAGCTATAATAGTTAGCTATAATAGTCGGCCGTAATAGTTAGAAGTAGCCTTTCTTAACCGCAGAGGTTCTAAACTTTAATAATAACGTAGAGGTTTCTAAAGAAAGGGCTAAATAGGCTAATATCTACTACTTTTTTACTATACTAAAGCTCATAAAAATTCTTTTTATCTTTATCGCTTTTAATATTACTTAAAGCTACTCTCTATTTAAACTAAATAAATTTACTAAACAAATCTATTAAATAAATTTACTAAATAAATTTACTAAATAAACTTATTAATATATAAACTATTACCTAGATAGCTAGTTAGATAACTAGTTAAGAGGTTAGCTAGTTAAAATACTACTTTGACGAGAACTTATTTTATTCTTAGTATATAGTTAGTAATTAGTAAGTTAGAACTCTAAAAATACCCGTTAATAAGTTTACCCCTCTTAAGCTAAGCGCTCTCGGCTAGCTCGATACTATAACTATTATAATTAATATAAATATACTTAAAAAGTAGTAAAATACCTTTTAGTAATACGGAATTTAGCTAAGTAATATTATAAGTACCGTAAATAGCCGGGCTAGTACGGATATTAAGATTTAATATATTAACGCTAGCCTAGTTATAATAATTATAATAAACGGGCTAGAAATATATAGGGTTAGGGTAATAAGTTAGTGCTTTAAATAGCTCTTATAGGACCCCCTAGGTAATAATAATATTTATATAAAAAAATAGATTATACTAAACTTAGTTACTTATATAGGCTAATATTAAGAGGTTTTATACGTATTAAAGTAAGTAAAGCTCGTTTTATAAGCGGGTAGTAAAAGGTTAGGAGTTTTAGTTAGTAATTAAGTATAGAGCGTATTATATCTAGTTTTTCCTAATACGTAATATATAATACGGCCCTAGCAGATTACTCTATCGGGGGGAGGAGTTTTAATAATATTAGTAATAGTTTAGAGGGTTTTAATTTTTTATTTTAAGTCGTTTACTTTTCTTTTTTTTAATTTTTAAGTTAGTTATAGCTTTATTAATTATGTTCTAAAGAGTAGTAATATTTTCGTTATTTTTAATTAGAGTTATAGCTATTTAAATAGAGTTATTATTAAAAAGTTTTATAAGTTTTTTATTTTATTTATTATTCTTTTTAATAATACGCCGTATTTCTTTATAATTTATTTTTTTAAGAACTATATTATTATTAGAGTTATAAGTAATATTAAGTATTTTATTATCCTTAACCTTAGCTAGTTTACTAACTAAGTTAATAGGTTATTTAGAGTTAAATAAAGGGGTACTTAGGGTTTTAGAAAATATTATTATTTATTTTACTACTTAGTAAGTCTCGTAGGGTTAATTTATTAAATAGGAGTAATTAAAATATTATAACTAGCTTATCGTAATAAGTATATTAATAAAAGTTAAGGCTACGAATACTAAGTAAATAGTATTATAATTATAAATAGCTTTCCTAAAGCTATATTTATAAGTTATAAAATAAATAAAGCTTTGGTAATTAATTATAGTTTTATTAAAAAAGGTTCTTAATAAAAATAGCTAAAAGTAATTATAAAATTTAATACTAAGTTAATTACTAAAAAAGCTATAAGAAGTCTATTTTTAAGCCTAGCTTATATTTATACTATATATAAGTCTCGTTTTTAAATATATTTTTTATAATATTCCTATTTATTATTATCTAACTATTTACTAAATAGTCGTCCGTCCTATTTATTTACGATCGTCCGTTTTATTTATTTATAAGTATCCGTTCTTTATTCTATTATATAATTATAGTTATATAACTTATTTATAGTTTTTTTGTCCCGAGAGGAGTTACCCTAAGTCCGTACTTTTATATATATAGTATAATAGCTATTATAGGTCTTATAGGGCGAGGCCCTAGCCTTATTATACGTATTAAGTCGTAATACTTCGATTATATAGAGTATTTACTTTAATAAGATCTAATCCTTTATATAGCTTTTTAACTATTATAATAATACCTTTTTTACGTAGTTTAATTACTAGTTTAAAATCGGCTTTCTTTTTTATTATATAAAAAGTATTAATTACCTCGTTATTAATAATAAATTACTACGTTAGTACTTATTATTATAGTTTTCTGCGCCGTCTCGCTAGTAATATTAATACTTTTTTAGTAACTTCCTCTTTTTCGTTATTTATTAATATTATTATAACTATTTTATTAAAAATAATTTCTTATACTTCTATTATAAGTAATATAGTTTTTCCTAGCTCTTTTTCTTTTATAAGTTAGAAATTACTTTAATAAGATTTATATAATATAGTTTAACTATAATAATTAATACTTTAAGTAGTTACTTACGATTTTTTATAACTATATAAGAGCGCTCGTTAATAAAAATTAATTTATATAGCCTAGCCTATTACTAAGTAATTTCGTACTAAACTCGTATATCCGAATTTAAAAATATATTTAAATTAGCCCCTATATCGGGCCTATTATATATAATAATTACCTTATTAACTTATTTTTTTATACTTACTTCGCGTAGTACTTATATTATTTTTTTAATTACTTAGGCTCGTTAGCTTATATTTAGTAACAGTAATAAGGCTAAAATCGTTCTTAAATATGCTCTAAATATTAATAATATTAGTATAAGCCTATTAGGCCCTATAATATTATTATAGTACTTAAGTACTATTTAGAGGTATTCGTTATTAATAGAATCGGGATTTTCCTTTTTAATAATTCTAAATACCTTTTTTAGTTATTAATATACCCTTTTTACTTTTCTAATATTATAATACGCTTCTACGGGTATAACTTTTAACTATATACTATAAACTATTATATTTTCCTTAAATTTTATTAATTTAAAACTCGTACTAGCGTTAGTTCTAATACTATTTAATAATCCTTAGTATATATTAATCTAGCTTTTTTATAGGGCTACTTATACTATTTTTATTTATAAATCCTAGAAGAATTACCTTACTTAAAATAATATAACCTCGTTAATTATATATAGGACTAGTCGACTATTTAAATAAAAAATATTAATAACGATTTCTTAATTAAAGTTAAGCTTATTACGTAATTTAAATTTAAATCTACGTAGGCTCTACGTATTTATTTAGTATTAGTAATATACTTTTATTAACTACTCTAGCGCCCCTATTTTAATATTATTATTATTTAATTACTTTAAGAAGTTATATAGCCTTATAACTAATAAGTACTTAAATCTTTAATATAGTTATTTAAACTTATTTTCTATTAAATAATTAATTAACTTCGTATTATTAATAAGCTTTATAAACGCGTACCCCTATTATTATTTAACTATTTCGAAGTACTTATTACTAAAGATTCTATTCCTCGTATTATTAAATATAATACCTAGTTAATCTATATTTTTTAAATATAAGAAAAATAGGGTATTAATAAATAAGATATAAAATATTATTGTTTTAAAATACGTCTCTATTTTTATTATACTTAGGGTAACGATTTCCTTACCTAGGCTAAAACTAATTTTTATAATACCTATTATTAACGTATTAAGTATTATTAATACAATTTTTTATAGTACTTAGAATTACCCTTTTTTTTTTATTAACTATTATAATACCCTAGTATTTAGGATAATTTTATAAAAATTATTTAAGTTATACTTTTTATTTACGTAAAATGCCTATACGAGCTTTATATTTAAGTAATCTAAGTAATATAAAAAAGACCCCTCTAGCTATTCTTAGAATTACTTAGTACTATTTTTTTTTAATATTAATAGAGGTAGTATTTTCTTTTTAAATATTAAGAAAATAGAATTTTATATTATTAAATTCGTCCTTTTATCCTCTTTTATATTTACTATTTAAAGGACCTTTTTTTATTATCTATAAATAAAAACCTACTTATTAAAGGCTTTTATTACTTTTTATTTATTTAGCCTCGTATATTTTCTAAAAGCTAATAAGGTAAAAAAAGAGTAGTTAATATTATCGATTTTATTATAATTTAATTCGTTAGTATAGGGGGCGAAATTTTCTTTATTTTTTAAATTTCTTATAGGAAGTAGATATTTTAAGCTATTATTTTAATTACTATTACTAAGTTCCGTACCCCTAGATCTATTTTTATATATAATAAGGAATTAGTTAAACTAACGAGGGCTAGTTTTATTATCTATTACCCTCGACTTTTTATATTATTTATATAATTTAGTACGCTCTTTTTTAAAGTAGTTACTTAATTAATATCTATCCTTTTTATAAATAAAATATTATTTCTTTTATTATTTTATTTATAAGTTAAATCTCTACTTATTTAATAAATCTAGGCCTCTTTATTAATAATTATTATACTTAGTCTCTTTTATTTTTTTATTATACGTCTAGTTAACTTAATATTATTAATAAGGGCTATTATATACTTAAAAATAGGTTTAGTATAGTATTCTTATTTTAATATTAAAACTAAATCTTAGCTTTAAATAGAGCGTTTTATAATTTTTAGGTACTTAGTATAAAGTTATTTTTATTTTTAATACGCGCTAAATTATAATATAAAAATATTTAACTTTCCGCTCGTTAGTCCTCTTATTTAGCTAGGTTTTTATTAATTTATTAATTTAATTAATAAGCTTTTTAAGGATTTTTATTTGTAATTTACCCTTTATTATTTTAGTTATAAATATAAAAAAAATTACTTATAACTTAAATAAGAGCTCTAAATTCTTATTATAAGTTTTAAAGCGGCTTTAGATTATATTAATAATATTAAAAAAGTCGTTTTAATTAAGATTACGTACCGCTTTATAATAATAATTAAAAACTTTACTTATAAGTATAATATTAATTACTAAATAATATTAGTATTCCCTAATCCCGACTTTTTTATAATAGTTATAAAATATTATTAGGGTTTTTTATAAAACCTCGTACTTCCCTTTAGAGTATAATTTCTTTTTTAAAAAGATCTTTTTAAAATTTATAAATTACCTCGTATTTATTATTATATTTTTAATATTTATATATAATCCCTATGTTATTACGTATTATTAATAATTTCGGGTTATTTACCTCTTTTTTTATTAACTAATTAGTACTAAATTTCGTATTAATAATAATAATAAGTTATAAATCGAAATAAGTAAAATTATTAATTATTATACGTTTAATACTATATTTTATTTTTATATATCTTTTTATAATAATAAATTATTATTAGTAATTATAAAAAAGAAATCTAGGTCGTTTACCCTTTTTCTAAATTTATTAAAGTAATTATATACTCTATCGACCTACGCTTAGTTTTATAGTATAAATTCCTCTTTTATAATTGTTATTATTAGGATTTTATATAGTTTTTATAATTATAATTACGTTAGTAATACCCCTTATTTATAGAAGAATCTATTAACTATTTTTATAATTCTTAAGCTTACGTTTATAAACTATTTATCTAGTTAATAACTAAGGTCGTTTACGATTTCGTAAAATAGGGGTTATTTTTATAGCCCCTTTTTTTTATAAACCTTAGTTAAATAAATTAATACTACGTTAATTTACTTATTATTAAACTAATTTACGATCCTATATATCTACGTCCCTTAATAATTTAAGTTAATATTTACCTACTTATAAAGGATTAATATTCTATTTAAAATTAAGTTTTATTCCCTTCTTTTTTACCCTAACTCGCTAAGGGTTATACTCTAGCTTATACTTATTTTAATAGTTATTAACGTATTTAATTTTAATAAAAAGATATTTAATCTATATACTAACTATAATAAATCTGTACTTTTACTACTTAACGAATTTATTAGGGTCTAAATAATTCTTATTTCTTTTTATTATCTCGCTATTATTTTCGTTTTTATTATTTTTAATAATTACTATTACTTTTTTAAATTATTAGTTATTATACTTATTAAGATCTTCCTTTTTATTTAATATAAAAAAATAAGTTTTAGTAGTTCTTTTTTTAATATTAATAATAAACGTTTATATTATTATAAAAAAACGAAGTAATTAATCTCGGGATTTTTATTAATTACTAATTTCTATTATTCTGTATATTTCTAACTTTTACCCTCCTAGGCCTTATACTCTATATAATTTTTAAATTATTTCCTTTTTTAACCTACCTTTTTTAAAGTAATATTCTAAAGGAATAATTAAAAATAAATACCGGGTAGTTCGTAAAGGAGCTAGATAAGTAGTTAAGAGCTATATAAGTTATTAAGTACGATTAATAAAATTAAGCCCTCTTTTTTATAAAATCGTAGGTCTTAAGGACTTATTAAAGATACTTACTTATTACTTATACTAAGTAAGGTTAATTACTTTAAAAATCTTTTTTTATAGCTTCTTAGTACCCTATTTTATATTTTTTAAGTAGTTTTTTTTATAACCTAATTACTATTAAGTAATTTCTACTTATTAATAATCCCTTTTATTACTTAGTTAATTTCTTAAAATTAGTAATCTCGTACTAAGAGCTAGTATAAAAAAAAGCCTTTTAATAATACTCTAGAGGATTTTTTTTTTTTTTTTAAATCCTTATTTTTTTAACCTTTTTTTAAGTTAATAATAACTTTATTAAGAAGTTATAGGACTATTTTAAAATAGCTACTTTTTTTTAAGTTAATTTCCGAGATTTATAATACTCTTAGCTTAATATTATTAGGACCTCTAAATCCCCTTTTTTCTTATTAAACTATCCCTTATATTATATTCTTAAATAATACTTAGGGAGTAATTAAAAGAATAATAAAAAGGTTATTTAAATCGCGGGCTTATAGTTATATTTATAAAACCCTCGTAATAATAAACCTTTTTATATACTATAAATCTCTTAGCTTTATAACTCCTATAAGGTTACTTTTATTATTAAATAAAAATATTTATATTTAAAAATCCTTTTTTTTAATTACGTAGTATTCTTTTATATTATATTATTAAGCTCGTTTATTATGCTAATTAATTAAGTAAGTAGTTACTATATAAGTATTTCCTCTTATTAATTTAATTAGTTAATTTTTAATTATAGGCTAGCTACGTAAAAGTTATTTAATAAAAAAGCCGCTTAAAATAATCGTAAAAAACTAGTTACTTAAGTAGTTCTATTAATTAATATAATTTAATATGATAAATATTAACCTCTCGTAAGTAATAAAGGGCTACGATTACTTAATTCCGTACGGTATTTAAAAATTACCCCCTTTTTTATTTCCTTTTATAAAGTTAATTAATATAAATCTCTTATCCCGTATAGTATTAAGAAGTTGTCTTTTTTATATAATAAAATACTTTATTAATTTATAATAATAGAATTTAATTATTAATTAGTATTAATATCCCTATTATAAAGTAATTAATTTAAACTATAAGTTAATAAAGAGATTAATTAAACTATATAAATTTTTATATAAGTATAAAAAGGAGGTTCTAACTATAAATTAAGCTAGCTACGATAATTATAAATAGGGCCCCTAATTAGCCCCTGCGTAGTTAGCTATATGCCGTGGTTAAATTAGACTTCTAATTTAATAAAGTTACTAAAACTAGTAGCTAGGTGTATAAGGCTTCTGCGTGGCTAGCTGAATAGAAGAAATACCTAAGAGGTTTAATTCTATCAGCCGATTACTTTTATGAAACCACGACTGCATGGCTTCCTTTTCGAAATAGTGATGTGTAGAACCGCAGCTGGACTAGTTACTCTATTAACTATTATACTCTTAGTCTCGGGCCATCCAGAGGTAGACCATCCGTGATCTAGAAGTGTAAGTAACTAGTTAAGCGACGCCGTATTTTTTAGCTCCGGTGGTCTTAGACAATTTCCCTCGTTTAAGAGTTATAGAGACAGCACGAAGAGAAGTACCGACGTTTGCATACAAGACGCCACCAAATAAGTTAAGGTTGTAAAGATACGTAGTCTGTACTGGAAATCATACTGAATAGCATCACATTTCCAAACCCAGACACGAAAGCCAGTGCTATAAATGAAGCTGCCCACCCTTTTCCGTTGTATAATTAGAAAGTGCCCTATCGCCTTTTTATGCTCTCCTTTCAGACTCCAAATTCAGTACGCAAACAATGTTTTTTGTCCAAGTACTTTGTTTGGCTTACAAATTGAAATAGATCCAATTCTCTCTTGAAGAGGCCGCTTCAGACTATTCTGTCTACCGCCCACGCTCAGCCCCTTGCGAGTTGCAGTAGCCCTGTTGAGGTAACCGACTCCACCCCCACCGATCTCGCAAGTCTCTTGCTGTATTGATAATTTAGCATCTTTATTTAACGTTAACTGACTAATCATAGTCAAAATGGAATCGAGATATAATGCCAGCAACGATATCGCAGATAAACTTGCGAAATTAGATCGTGGCTCCACCGTCCTTGAGCTCATTACCAAATTCGAGCAGGCGGAATTCCTTAAAGCAAATCTGAAAACCGATTCTCTGTCGAATAACCTGGGCAAGCCTTTGCTTGATGATCACTATGCAGATGGAGCAGCTGAAGGAGTCTGCTCGGCTGCGGTGATGCACTGGCTTGATACCGGCAACGTCCCCGCTCCCACCGAGAATATGGCTACAAAGCTGTCTCGAGTCCAAGGCTCTTTTGACCTTGACAATGAGCGTGAATACTTGAAATGGGTCAGCAATCTATCAGGCTCTTTCAAGAAGCTCAAAGAACCTGTCAAAGACAGCAAGGGCTTGAATCTCGACGACACCCAAGTTTTCATCAACTATCTGCTTGATTTCTCGGGTAAGATTAACACAGAGTTCAAGCTTTTCCTCATCCTTTCTTTCCGGAATGGCATCAAACAATGTGCCCATGCGGTTGGCTGGAATCTTGGAACCAGAAGCTTCTTCGATCCCAATTACGGCGTTTGGAAGATCAAAACACCCGGTGCCAAGGATAGCATTTGGAATTTCATCCCTTTCAGTAATGGTTCCGACCCTGCCACAGACATTGCCTCTTCACTTCTCGGTTTGGATGAGATTCGCAATAAATACGGGAAGCAAGTCTCTGTCATGGCTATCACTTTCTGACCTATGTTTGGAAAAGGTTGTCTTGTAGATTAATCTTCTTTGAAATAGCTATCATTTTGGGCGAATTCTGGCAGAAAGTGAGCGATGATCCTAGTCATGCTGTAGTCGTGAACTCATGCTAATTTTCTTCACGGTGCCTTATTGGTTTGACCAAAAGTTGATGATACAGGCTGTGACACTCGTTGTCAATCAATATTACTAACAAGCGAGGTGTTGAGTTCCAGGAAGTCAGAGATATGGAGGACCGAGACATAATTGGCATTTAGGAACCAAAGCAACTTGATAGAATGAGTCGAGAACAAAATTCCCATGGCCCTCGGATTGTGAGCTGCAGTGAGCAGCGGTATGTCCAATAACATTGTGACCTAATAATAGTGTCTAGATCAGCACTTCTTTCGACGAATCAAGTTGAATGGGTTCATTCTAGGTATGTGGCTTAATTAACGTCCTGGATTTTGTAGACAGACACGTTATTCCGTTACTCACATTTGAGTTCCCCAAGAGGACATCAATCAGCAGATCAAGCCTGGTCAACGTACCTAATCTGGACTCCCGAGGACCGCTTGCAAGCAGAGGACCCTCGATCGGATGGGATGCGGCACAGTCAGATCTCTCCCATCGACCCGGATTTGTCCCACTGAACCGCCGTATCAAGCAAATGATCTAGCGGTGTCTCACCGGGTACCGAGAGTCTGAATTAAGGTGGCCGATTCTTGTTCGGCCCTGCTCCGGATCCCGGCCATGTAGAGTGGCCTGCCACTAATTATCAACGACTTTCTAACAGTACGTCCCGACAAGATGCTAGCCAGCGACTTAGCGACTTAACGACTTTGCGACTGGCATAGTCCTTATTGATCGATCATTCAAAATGCTATTGGGGGGGACCGAATCAGGGATACAGTCGAGCACGGGGACTGCTTGTTGGAAGAGTGCCCTTCACTGAGCTACAGTACACTGGAAGCACACAATATGGATCATGCGATGTCAAGTCAAGCTATTGAGTCCCACATACTAGGAGCCATCCGCGTTCGGTTTTCACGAACCCGATGAATCGATTCTAACACCATGACAAACCCTCCAGCGATACAACCCGGGCATTAGTTGGCATTCAGCTTGCTTGTCCAAAGAGTCCCGAGGGGGCGAACCATGACCACGCAGGATCAACAGACGACATTGGTTTGAGATGCCACGGGGAAAGTTTCACAGGATTGAAAGCTGGAACCCCCGGGCCCCTGTCACCCCACGACCTTTCCAGGAAGAAGGGGCATACCTGTGACCAATGCGGGTGAGGTGGCATTTGACAAGATGTTGAAACGCAGGTTCACCATCGTCATTGGAGGATAGAAATCCGTACACCTGATTGTACCATGATGTTTCCTCTACACTGCAGAGTACGAAGTATTCGGGGAGAAAATATGCAGCTAATTATTAATACCCGCTGGGCTGACCTGCATCGGATTGCGCCGCCATCAGCCGCCCAGGGACGAATCTGCATGCAGTCCGCCTGATTGACGCCCGAGATCGTAAGGCGTTCTATTTTGCCATGTGCATGATGCACCTTCGACGCAGGGGGAGGGAAGCGGGAATGCATAGAACAAACATTGTTCGATCGAAGGGGATTGCCCGCCTGCAAACAGGAATTGGAGTGATCGCGTGGCACGACAAAGCGAACAAAGAGAATGATCCCAGAGACACGTGGTATGAGATTCAGGAACGCCCCAAACCCAAAACCCCGGATGAGAAAACGGTCTCAGAGGGGAGGGGGGGAAGAAGTGCTTGCTTGCTTGCTGCTTCTGGTGGATGGTGTACGGACTACGAAGTACTACGTACCAACCTGACCATGGAACCGGGAATTAGGGCCGAGTGGGCGATGCGACGGGGATAGCGTCATCGCTTGGTGTTGAACTTGAACCCGCCAGACCGGATGCACTTGGTTCCATTTGCCAGGCATGCTTTGCCTAAGTAACGTGAAGCGTGAAGCGTCGCTGGAAGTCTCCATGTCTTGAGTCTTTGGGCTTTCACTCTGGAATCGGGAAACTGTTGCAGAGTAAAAATATGTGAGTCTCACTCGCTCTCCTCACAGTGAGACACCATGCACCAAGAAAAACGTTGTCGTAAGGCATCAATTGAAATTCACCATCCCAAGACGGGTTACGAGTTTGACGCAGAACTAGACAAAATAGGAAGAAGGCGAGGAAAATCTTTTTGCAGCTTTGCGCCGTTGCGGGCGTTATGAGTCCTTGTTCCTGGAACCTATTCCTGGTTCCTGGGATTGGTGTTTGGTCGCTTAGAGGACGATCAACTGTCGCCAAACAGGGGCAGCCAACCACAGTTTACGGGTTGCCAGCGTCGCTTCTCGAAGGGCAAACACCATCTTGGATCGATTGATTGATTGCGGCCCAGCCTACTGGGTGAGAGGTGGTGGTGGTGGTGGGAGGCGGGCGTTAGGCCGAAAAGAAATAGGTGGCTGCAACTATCAACGTTTCTCAAGTTGTACTTTACGGATAGACGAGCAGCCAATGCGACGCAATACGACACACGTTTACAACAAACGTCCTCCGCTCAGCCACTGCAAGGCGAAAGGGGAAAAAAAGGAGGTCGGCCCCCATGACGAACATGAAGACATTGTAAAAAGTTGACAGACATCTCGGACAGCCCGATATGCAAGGGTGAAAATCTTCACAAGCAGATTGCACAAGTCTCCACGTTCATTTATCGCAGTGAGAAAGCAGAGAGGATTCGGAGAATAAGAAGGAAAGAAGGAGTGGAAGAATAATAGATTCGAGATTCGAATGTGGACCACTGACCGCGGCTCTCGGATCCATTCTCCTTTCCAAAAAACAAGCGCCGTCTTGCAATTATTCTGCATCGGAATGGAGTACGGGTCCGTAACATGGCATGTCCAATAAATAAACATGCAATATTATTTCGCTGTTTTAGTGTTGAGTTGTCCGCAATCTCATTTCAGCCCACCTACGCGGTATTGCTGTGAAGGGCTCCCCCCCCCCCCGGGTCTCCCCCGGCCTCTGCACTGACAAAGATCCCGGACGGTGGACGGAGCACCTAGCGGGCCAGCAGCATCTTTGACATTTGCAGTAGCAGGGCAGCAGCAGTGGTACCCTGCAGATATTGTGGTTTTTTTCTTCTTTCTGCGCAGCACGGGCATCTCCAGAAACAGACGACATTTCCATTCTTGTTTATTGAAAAGGGTCAAGGAGCGGGAAAAAAAGGGAGAGCAGTTTTTTACTTGATATTGACGAAACAATCAGAGACGCATCAGGAAGGGGCGGAAAGGGGGAAATCAACACGGAAGGAAGGAAGGCAGGAAGGAGGGAAGGAGGCAGGCAGGTTTGTCTGCACCTTCTTCCCCGAGGCCGAGTGACAGGTACGTATACATACACAATACGAAATAGGTACCTAAGAAGTTAGGAATACTTGATACTTCATGCTGCTCGTTGCCTCTCCATTTGTTCCATCGTCACATCGTCACATCTTGGATCAGGGTGATCAGGGTCCCCTCCCCTCCTCCAAACGCTTTCTTCGTCACCAAGACCAAACACAAATCACAAATCAAAGCCATCAATAACCCCCCCCTCTTCGTCCCTCAGTGACGACATCTCATCCTCGTCCGGCGCCCCGGCATCTAAAACCCAACGCTACCCGTGATCCGTCAGGTTTAGCTACGCACGGTTTGAGCAACACACACCAGTGACCAGCAACACCACTCATCGGAACTGTAGGCACGATAGAAACATCATCGCTGCAGGGAGCTCCCCTCCTGGAGCTTGCGCCCACCCCTCGTGCGATCCCACAATCACCGAGACAGAGCCGCGCAGTCGCATCCCGTCTTGCAGCCAAACAGCGCCCGGGATAGACTCTTTATTTGAATACCAGTACCTCACCGGGTCAGAGCTGGAGGTTCCCCATCAGAGCTCCCCCATCGAGCAGGCCTCATCCCTCTTGTTTCTTCCACCTCACCCTCGGACGGGGCGACGCTCGAGCACTCCAGTGACCACTCTTTTTCTCTTCCACGACCACCACAGACATCTCATACGAGCACGACAAGGAAAACAAATACATAATAGGAGGGCGGAACGAGGAAGAATAGAGTCAGGGGCCCGGTCCTTGGTCTGCTCGTTGCTTTTGCCCTTAATCCGCACCCATCTTTGAGCTTTGGGTTCCGATTGTACTCAATTCGTATTCTACCGACATCATTGTGTACCTACCTTGGGTGGTTAACTTCCCAGTCTCGTAGGTTCTTGCCTTTCAAGTTTCGGCCCCCAAAGACCGAGTGCATCCGTCAATCCTTCCCTTCCATCGATTCATTGCAACGCAACGCAATACAATACGACGCAACACAACTCAAGGTCCAAGGAAGAGCGTACCGTAGCACCGCCGCCAAGGGTCGCTATCAAAAGCAAGCGCATCCCCTCGCTCATTCTGTCATCTCTCCAGCCATTCATCCATACCGAATACAGTCCACCCACCACCATCCCGCATTATCGCTGCGATATTCGGGCCATCCCAGAGACACACCACCCAACCATCGGCAGGCCTACCAACAGCCTCGTCACACTTTCAGATTTCACACCAATATCCCATCCCGCAGCTTACCATCAATTTTCACCTGTTGATTGCATCTGCGGCGGCGCCCAATTGACCAACGACGTCTTCTGCTCCCCGCATCGCTCAAGCTCCCACTCGCGACAAAAGAAACATCTTGTCTCACCTTTGAGGGCGAAGAATACGAACGGGTTCTATTTACGTCCAGTCAATCCATTCCCACCGATTCACTCCTCGCTCATTGCAACCTCAACGGTCTACACTCTCTGTCTCGCGCGCGCGCGCCACACGATACGGACTAACCCCAACGACACCTCCATCATCCCATCCACATCCCTCTTGGTAGGCACGTAGAAAAGGCGACGAACGACACCTGCTACCCGCACCAAAGCAACAAGATCAACCAAAATAACAACCACGAGGCGAAGAGAGGCGAC